AGGATGGAATGAGAACCCAGGTCAATAAGCCCAAACCCCTCCTGAGATGGGACTGCCCAGCACCCCAATCCCGTGGGATCCTGGCAGCTCCTGTGGGACAGCCAACAGGTCTTGGCACAGCTCTGAGCTGGCACCACCTCCACGACCAACAGTTGGGATTTGTGCTGGCAGCTTCCAGCAGATCCCCAGGAACTGGACAGGAACCAAGGACAGGTGCCAGCACGGAGCCTCCTCGGTGGCTTCCAGCTTTTCTTTCTCAGAATGACCCCGAACACGGACTCACAGCTCACAAGATCGGGAATGGTTTGGGATGGAAGGACCTTTAAAGGCCCAACCCTGTGAGGAGCCACTCTGGGATGAGGGACAGGACCCAAGGGAGCAGCTGGAGCTGTGTCAGGGGGGTTGGATGGATTTTGGGAACAGGCTTTTCCCCCAGAGGGTGGCTGGGGCTGACCAGGCTCCCCAGGGCAGTGGGCACGGCCCCGGGGCTGCCAGAGCTCCAGGAGCGTTTGGACAATGCTCTCAGGGATTTGGGGACTGGGGAAAATTTTTGGGGTTGTCCTGTGCAGGGCCCGGAGCTGCACTTTGATCCAGGGCACCCTGACCCCCCCAAAAGCTCCTCACTCACTTCTGCTGGTCCGACGGGTTCTGGATGATGGTTTTCTCTCCGTCGATCACGTGTTGCTTCAGCTGGTGTGACAACATCCCTGTCGAGAGGGAACTGGGCTCACTGGGAGTACTGGGAGGGCAGCTCTCAGATCCAGGGAGCAGGGAGGGAAAGAGTCTTCAGGGTCACACGGAAACAGGGGTGTACTGGGAGCTGCACTGGGCTGTACTGGGAGCCTTGGGCACAGGCACACCAGTGGGTTGTACTGGGCTGTACTGGGAGCCCCAGGCACAGGCACACCAGTGGGTTGTACTGGGCTGTACTGGCAGCCATTCCCCACCAGTGTCACATCCAGGGAGATTTCCCACAGTTCACTTCCAAACCCAAGCCTGGGAAGGGGCACCAGCACATTCCCAATCCACTCCCTGAGCCAGCAGGGACTGTGGGATGCCCCTTTTGGGAATGGGAAGCACAACCCAGGCACAGCCAGCTCCCTCTGCTCCCATCACCTGCCTGAGAAAACCCTGGGACTCAACCCTTCCCCAAACAACTCCTTGGACAGCACTGGACTGTGTCCTGGAGAATGGAACAAAGCACTGAGGAGGCCCACAAAGCCATCCCACACACAGAGCAAGGAATCTGTGTTCCCAGAGATCCCAGAGAACGAGCCAGCTCTATGGAATTTCGGGAAATTTAACCAGCAATGGACCAGTTTAAGGTGGCTGAAAGAACCCCACGGCACCGACAGGACAAAAGGATCTGCCAGAGCTTCCGGACACAGATCCAGCGGTGCCACTGCCACCAGCAGCTATCCCAGCACCTTCCCACTCATCCAAGGCTTTGGAGCAGGACGGAAATGACACCCTGCCCACCCCTGGGAAGGTTCTGGCATCACAAAGCTGGGATGGATTTGCTAAAGGGGCTTTGAGTCCAAATGGCCAGGACATGTCCCTGGCTGTGGGAGCCCACGTCTTGTTCCCAAAATAGCGTGTCCATGAAGCCACAGAAACAGAGGAAGGAAAAGAATCCAGAGAGTTTAGAAGGGAGATTTTAGCAAAGGCTGCTCACTTAAGAGATGGACTTGCAGCCACTGAACGTTTCCCAGAATCTGACTGGGGCAGCTCAGGACGTCGTGTTCATCCCTGATCCCTGAGATCCCCACTCCCTGGAATCCCTGATCCCTGGGATCCCTGCTCCCTGGGATCCCTGATCCCTGAGATCCCCACTCCCTGGAATCCCTGGGATCCCTGCTCCCCATCCTTACCTTCGATGGGTGTGCAGTGAAACGAGTGGGCTATTTTGTTCCAGGCCTCTGTCACTTGTGTGTTCTGGAAGAAGGACACAGGAAAACACGTTAAGGACAGAAAATTCCTGCCACAAGCACGAGGTTTCCTTTAATTCCGTGTTCTGGGATAAATTCCACACATTTTACAACCAACAGGTGCTTTGACACTTCCTAAAAAACAGAGAGACGGTGCCAGGCTCTGATTCCTCCCAGCACCCACCCAGACAGCTGCTCCCAGCTGCCCCACGGAATTCCCCACGCTGGGAATTCCTCCCAGGCGAGGTCCCCCCTGCTCCCTCCCCCGAGGGATCCTGACCTGGTTCCCAGGTTTCACCAGGCGCAGGGCGGCCTCGGCGCACAGATGAGCCGCCTTGATGACGTCGGCTTTGCGGCCCAGCACGGGGTTTTCCTGGGAAAACAGCCAAACAAGAGGATTTTTGAGGGCTGCTGTTCGTTTGGAGGAGATTCCCTGTTCCACTGGACACCTTCCCCCTGGAGCCAGCAGGGAATCCAGCTCGGAGGGGGAAAAGCCCCACAGATCCCTCGTTAGTGCCCCATCAACCACCACCAAATCAGCTCCCACAGGAGTTCCCAAGACTTCCCAATCCTGGAAAGGGATCAGGACTCCAGTGTGGCCACAAACATGGATTAGGAGGATTTCAACACACTCCAAATGAGGATTTTTGGTCCTCTCCCCTTCGAGTCGTTCCAAAGCCGCTGGAGCAAAACCCAAGACACCGTCACCCTCTTCCCAAGGCTCCACCTAAGGATTTATCCTGAGCTTTTTTAAGTGGCAACTTCAGGATCGTGACAGGGATTCCCAAGGCACTAGACCAGCCAAATCCCAGTGTCCCACCAACACCAGCCCCCAGCAAGGAACCTCTGTGCTGCAGGAAAAGCGGGGAGCAAAGACTGATTTTGGGGTGGGGGACATCCATCCTGGGGCATTGCAGCAGCACAACTGGGCAGCAGGGACTGCCTCCCCAAGGCTCCCGGTGCTGCCTCCTCCCCAGAGAGCCCCTGGGATTCAGAGACCCCCCCAACATGATTTTTGGGATGCCACGAGGGGCGGCCGGAGACACCCCCCGAGGACAAACCCACCTTGGAGGCGCCGATGACGAAGGTGTGGGCCACGTTCCCGATGAACCCGTCCACGTGCACTCCCAGGTCGCTGCAACACAAAGGAAAGGGAATTCCAGGCGGGTCTCAGGGCTCAGGGGCGATTCCAGAGGCAGCAGCAGATGGGAGAGCGCTCCAGGCGCTGCTCCAGACTCGATATCAGTCTTTAATTAGCGAGGCAGTAATTAACCTGGGCTGGTGTGTCCCTGCCCGTGGCGGGGGGAAGGGGATGATCTCTAAGGTCCTTCCAACCCAAACCATCCCGGGATTCTGGGAAGCATTTAACAGGGAGCAGGACCAGAGGAGGGAACTCGCCCCAGGCACTCACATTTTGACCAGATCTCCGTCTTTGAGGATGTAATCCTGGTCACTCTTCAGCGGGGAGAAGTGACACACACAGTTATTTACGGATATACTCGTCGGGAAGGCAATTCCTAGAAAGGGAGAAACACAACCCTGGAGTCAAGGAGCGGTCTGGGTTTGGAGGGATCTCAAAGCCACAGGCAGGGACACCTTCCACTAGCCCAGGTTGCTCCAAGCCCTGTCCAGCCTGGCCTTGGACACTTCCAGGGATCCAGGGGCAGCCACAGCTTCTCTGGGCAACCTGTGCCAGGGCCTCCCCACCCTCACAGGGAGGAATTCCTTCCCAATATCCCATCTAAGCCTATTTTCAGGACCTCCAGCACCCAGGACACGGACCAGGGAGCTCTCAGTGATGCATTTCAGCGTCACAACCCCCACGGTGCCGAGTGACTCTCCCAAGTAATTCCCATTTCCAGGGGGTAACAGGATCCGCTGAAATGGGAAGCTGTGGAGCACCAGTGACACTGCCAGGAGGGCAGGCAGGAGGATTTGGGCTAACACTGCCTTCCTGGGAACAGCAAAATATCCCTGACACCCATCAGCACCCAGGAGCACTTCCCGTGCTCCTGCCCATTCCCACCGGACACCCGGCGGGAACGAGGACCACGGGACGTCCCCGGAGCAGCCTCACCTTTCTTCATCTCCTTTTCCTTCTTGAAGATCTTCCCGGTCTCCTCCATGATCATGGCATCCCCCTTCTCGCACAGGCAGAGAACCGACGCTCCGGAATTCGCCGCCTCCACCACGGCACGAAGGACCCCTGGATCCCAAAGGACACCCTGAGCCTTTCAGGGATAAACAGCCCCGAACCCAGCACCAACATCCCCCTCACGGCGCTGCGGCGGGAAAACCTCACTGTTGCCCAGGACAAAACAAGACTCCAGACTCGGATCTTGACTAAAACTGACCCTGGAGAGGCACAAATCCCACCTTAACCTTTGGGAATGTTTCCACGGGGCTGCACAGGTGAAGCACCTCTGAGACCCAGCGGGAAGCAGGAGCCCCACATTCCTTTGGGAGAAGTCAGAGCTCCAGAAACAGGTTTGGGAATTGCTGGGAGACATCAAAGGCGCTGCGGACGTGCGGGGCCAGAGACAGACTCAGCCGGGCACCCACTCCAGGAGTCCCTGTTTTCCAAGGAATCCACGTGCTCCTGGCCCAGCCTGGCACAAGGAACTCCCCACGCCCAGCTCTGTGCTGGGCTTACAGGAAGTTTTGGGAATATTTGAGTCCCTGTGAGTCCTGTCTGGATCCGCTGGGAATGCTGGCCTGCCTTGTGCTTTAGGGACAAACTGTGGGAAAGGGGTGTCCCAGGGCCCCTTCCCTCCTTCTCCCTCCACCTGTGACACTCCACAGGGAGCCACAGCGCTGATCCCAAAGTTTCCTGGGATCCCTGGATATCTCCTCAAAGTCTCCCCTCGTCCTGAGATCACGTTGTTTGTACGAGAGGCTGTTTAGGGGGAGTCACACAGGGGGGAAAATGTGCTTTCTTGGAATTCCCAGGAATCCTTGGAAGGGCTGAGGGGACAGGTGGGTGTTTCACCTGCGCGACAAATCAAATTTCAGCCCCCTCCAGTCACCCTTCCATGGGAAAGTTTGGAATATTTCAAAGCACAGATAACACTCCGATAGGAGCCAGTTGTGGCTGGCAGAACACGGAGAAGAAATAAAACAAACAGGGAAGCAGATAAAAGGAGCATTCCAAGGGATCCGAGGAGCAGGGACAGCTGACAGCACTGCCCAGGAACACTCCCGACTGTGCCCTGCCCTTCCCAGGGTTTCCTTAGGGAGTTAAAGCACTTTATAGCTCTAAAAGCCCCTCACTCTGGCAAGAACTCGAGGTAGTCGGAAGTTTTTTTTGCCACACTGGTGTGTTTGCTCTTCCCAAGGGAGAAGAACCCGCGTGGAGCTGCCTTTCCCCCCGGGAAGGGAGGTGGCCAAACTTCCAGTCTGCCCAGCAGACCGAGGGAGCCAAAGCGGCGGCGACCTCCCTTCCCGAAGGGAATCTGCATCCCCGCTCCCGGCCCGAGCTGCCTCCCAGGACAGCGGCAGGAGTCCGAGGGAAGCTCTGGAGTCAGCAGGAGCCGGGGTGGGACACCCGGGAGCCCCATGGAACCGGTCGGGGCGGCTCTAACAGCTGTCACCCTCCGCGGGGCACCCGCGACAGCGGAGAGGGCTTAAAAAATAACAGGGGAAAGGGAACAAGGCGGGGGGGTGGGCAGAGCCCGGGGGGGCACAGCCTGGCCCGGGGCAGGACCCCCGAGCAGGGGCAGGAACGGCATTCCCGGGGCCGGACCCCCGGTCTGGGGTAGGAATTCCTGGGGCAGCCCCCCCCCAATTCCAGGGGCAGGACCTCCTTAGGCCAGGGCAGGGCCCCCCCCGGAGCTCCCCCATCTCCGATCCCATCCCCGCCACCACCGCGGGACCCCCCCGGCCCCGGGGGGGGATCAGAGCCCCGGACAAAAGGGCGGCGCGGGGCAGCCCGGGGGGAGCGGGGGGGTCCCCCCGTGTCCCGGCGCGGGACGGAGGGGGCGGGGGGCGGCAGGCCCGGCCCCGCACCCCCCGCGCCGCCGGTGCACGTGGGGCGCGGTACCACGTGCCGGCTGCGGCGGCCGCGCGGGGCCGGGGCCCGCCGGGGTCCCGAGTACCGGGGGGGTGGAACGGGGGGGCCCCACCCGCGGCCGCACCGACCCCCCCCTCCCCAGCGAGAGGGGCCGGCCCGGGGGGGCTCAGACCGTGGGGGGGGCCGGCCCTCGCCGACCCCCCCCCCCCCCCCCGAGCCCCCCCCCCCCCCCCGGACCCGCCCCCCGCCCGCCCCGCCGCCCCCCCGCCCCGGGCCCCGCACTCACGGTTGGCGATGTCCCCCCCCATCTTGTACTTGGTCACCACCAGGTCCTCGGCGATGGTGAGCTCGGCCGCCTCCTCCTCGCCCGACATGGTGGGAGCCCCCCCCCCGAGCCCGAGCCTCCCCCGGAGCTCCCCGGGCCTGGTCGAGCCCCCCGGGCCTGGTCGAGCCCCCCGCCCGCCGCCGCCGCCGCCGCCGCCGAGGAGCCCCCGGGACCGCGAGCCCGAGGCGCGAGCAGGGCAGAGCGCGGGCTCCGCGCGGGGCACGCTGGGAACGCGAGTCCTCCACGCCCCCTCGGACTACAAGTCCCGGCAGCGCCCGCGCCGCCGCGCGCAGAGCCCTGGGTGGGCCTTCTCCGCCCCACGACTACAACTCCCGGCGCAGAGCGCGGCTCTCGCGAGAGGAGGAGGGGAATAGCGGCGGAAGTGGAGCGCGAGGGGTGATGGGGGATGTAGGCGGAGGGTGGGGGCACCGACACCGCGACCCCACCGGCGCCGGTCCCTGCCCGAGGATGTCGGTGCCCCCGATCCCTGTCCCTGTCCCCGTTACCAGCCCCATCACCGCTCTCTCGCCGCAGCTCCCGCTCCGGTGTCCTCTCCCCGACCCCTCAACACCGTGACCCCCCCGGGGCCGGTCCCTGCCCGAGGCTGTCGGTGCCCCCGACCCCTGACCCCCGGTCCCACTCACCGCCCCCAGCCCCATGGCCCCGCCACAGCCCCCGGGCCCCGGTCTGTTGTCCCCCCTCAATCCGGTCCCCCCGATGCTCCCCCCCTGCCCGGTGTCCCCTCCCCGACCCCCCCGAGCCGCAGGACCGACTCCGGTGTTGAAATTCCCTTTTGTCTTTATTCAGCCCCGTCTCGCCCCCCTCGACGCCGGGGGCGATCCCTGAGCGGGGGGGTCCGGGCTGACCCCCCCAACCCCGGGCAGCCCCCGAGAGACCGGGAAAAGCACCACGGAAAAGGGATTCCCGGGGACTCCCCGCCCGGAGCGGGGCAGGGGGCGGCCGTGCCGACCCCCCTCACCCCGGGCAGTGAGTGCTCTCCTGCCCCGACCGCGGGACACTCCTCGAGGTGCCCCCGCGGGGGTGGGGGGTTGGAGGGACACCTCCAAACCTTCACTCCGGTTCCAGCAGGGAATGGGGAAACCTGAAAATGAGTCTGGGGTCCTTCAGAAATCCCATCTGACCTCGTCTGCTGCTCCCCCCGGGCCCCACAGGGACCCCCAGCACACGGGGAGCACCTTCAGCTGGGGGGAGCAGCCGGGGGACACCCCCCGGGCATGGTGGGAGGGGGACCCAGGGGTCCTGACCCCCACCGACCCCCTCTTCAGGGGGTCTGGGCTGCCCCCTCCCCACCACCTCGAGGGGCCCAGGATTAGCTCCCCCAGCCTCGCACCCTCAAAAAAAGACCCTGCAAAGGGTGGGAGGGGGCAGGTGCCCCCCAGACCGGGCTGAGACCCCCCCCGGTCCCCGCCCACCTTCCGCCGGGGTTCACCCCCCGGGGGGGATCCTTCATATCCAGTGTGAGTAGCCCGGGGGGGGGCCCGGGGGGTCCCCTACGTCCGCTGGGCATCGGCCTTGGCGAAGAGGCGGCTGTGCCAATAGTCGGGGTTGTCGAAGGCACAGTCCGAGGCCTCCAGGCTGCGCAGGGGCTTCATGCAGGGGGTGGGGGGCCCGCGGCAGCCGGGGCAGCGCGGGGTCACCACGGCCTCCATCTCCTCGTAGCCCTGCTCCTCCTCCGGGGCGGGGGGCGCGGGGGTCTCCCCCGGGCGCATGTCGGTGTAGCCGTCGTGGCGGGGGGGGCTGCCCTCGGGGCGGGGTCCTGGCCCCCCGGACACGCTGCCCAGCGAGCGGCTCAGCCGCGGCTGCTTGTTCATGTACTCATAGTCCTCCTCGTCCTGCCCGCCCCGGCCCGGGGGGGCACCCGGGGGCCCCCCCGGCTCTGAGCCCACCTCCATGTACTCGTAGCCCAGCTCCTCCAGCGAGGCCGGCCGGGGTTGGGGGGCTCCCGGGGCGCCCCCGGGCCGACGGTTCATGTACTCGTACTCCTCCTCCTCCGGCTCCGGCATCGAGCCCCCGGCGGGGTCTGGATCTGTGAGGTGGGGGTGAGACACCGGCCGGGCCCCCCCGGCCCTCCCAGGCCCCCCCTTCTGCCCACAGGACCTGCCCACCGAGTTTGGGGGGGTCTCATCTGGGCTCATCCCACCCCACAACCCTCCCCCCCACCGTGCAGGGATGGGTCCCTCCACCCCCAATATTGGGGATGGGCCCCCTTGATCCTTGGGAATGGGATGGCCCCCCCAGCCACAGGAGCCCCCCAGCCCCTGAATCCCAACCCCTGCAGGGATGGAACCCCCCCAGGAACGGGGTCCCTGCACGCCCATGATGGGGGAGCCCCCAGAGCTGCCCCAATGGAATGGGACCCCTCCACAAGGACGGGCCCCCCACCCCTAAGGACACCCCCAGAGCCGCGCCCCTCACCCCGCTGGGCGCAGTTGGGGGTCACGTATCCGTTGGGGTCCTCCTCGCTGCCCTCGGAGCTGGGGGGCGGGGGGGGGAAGCTCTCCCGCTGGGACAGGTACGCGCTGTCCCCCCGCGAGCGGAGGCTGCGACAGAGGCTCCCGGACAGGGACCCGCCCTCGCCCAGGTCCAGCTCCGAGGCGGTGCCGCGACCCTCCGACGACTCCGACACCGTCCGGCCCAGGGACTCCTGACGGCTGCGGCGCAGCGGCCGCGACCCCCCGCCCTGGGGGACACGGGGGTGAGGGGGGGCCCTGCGGACCCCAACCCACCCCTGCCCCGGGACCCCCCGCCCTGGGGGACACGGGGGTGAGGGGGGACCCCTCTGGATCTGACCATCTCCCCCTGCCCCGTGGGACATGGGGGTGAGGGGGGACCCCTCTGGATCTGACCATCTCCCCCCCTGCCCTGTGGGACATGGGGCTGAGTGGGGGGACCCAAACTCCCCCTCCCTGCCACCCCACAGCCACGGCTTCCCCTCCCATTGTCACCCCTTTGCGTGCCCTGCCCTGGCACCCCACGGTCCCCCCTGTACCCTGGCCAACCCCCCGAGCCCCCCCTTGACCCCTCACCCCCCGACCCCCGGTACCAGGCGGGTGCTGCCGAGGCCGGGCTGGTTCATGGGGATGTATCCGGCGGGGGGGCTGAGCAGGCTGGGGCTCTGCGGGGGACAGGGGGGTTGGCACCAGCAAGGGGGACACAGAGGCTGGACCCCCCGCCCCACTGTGGGAACAGGGCGTGGGGTCCCGACAGGGCAGGGAGGGGATGAGGTAGGGGGTGGCACTGCGGGGGTGGGTTCCATATCCCACCCCCATGGGAGGGTTTGGGGCTGGGAGACCTTGTATCACGTCCTGGGACCCTGTGTCACATTCTGGGACTCCGTGTCACATCCCAGGCCCCTGTGCCCCTTCCCTGCCCCGTGCCACATCCCAGGCCCCCGTGTCACATCCCAGGACACAGCCCCGGCATCCCCACACCCGGAGAGGGGGGACAGGGGGTTCTCACCCGGGCGCAGCTGCCCCGCGGGCGCTGTGGGTACAGCCCGGTGGTGGGGCCGAAGGAGACGTCCAGCTCCTCCTCCTCGTCCAGCTCCAGCGTCTCCATGTCGTCCAGCTCCTTGTCGCTGAGGGTGGGGGGCTCGGCGGGGGGCACGGCCCCGCTCTCCTGCTGCAGGAGCAGCCGGGTCAGGGCTGTGGGGATGGGGGGCCGGGGGGGCTCAGGGGGGCCACGCTCACCTTGATCACCAGGTAGCGTGGGGGGTCCCGGGCCATGCGGGTGAACTCGTTCGCCAGCTCCTTGAAGGTGGGACGGATGTTCTCGTCGATCATCCAGCCTGGGGGGACGGTGGGGGCTGAGAGCGGGGCAGGAGGGCAGGAGCAGGACCCTCCTGGGAGCGGGGCCGGCTCTGGGGACAGCAGCAGGACCCCCGGGGGCGGCCCCACTCACATTTCACCATCACCATGTAGACGTCGATGGTGCAGATCTGGGGCTGCGAGAGCCGCTCGCCCTTCTCCAGCAGGTCGGGCACCTCTGCCAGGCGGATCCCGGCGTAGGGCTCGGAGCCGAAGGTCATCATCTCCCACAGCGTCACGCCTGGCACGGGGACAGTCCCCGTGAGCGTGGGGGGACCCGCGGGGGGGGCCCACGGGGGGGCTGTGCTCACCGTAGCTCCAGACGTCGCTCTGGTGCGTGTACTTCCCGAAGTGGATGCTCTCCAGTGCCATCCACTTGATGGGCGTCTGCCAGGAAAAGGGGCAAGTGGGGGGCGTGGGTGGGGGTTTGGAACGTGGGGACAAGGGGGGGGGACACCCTGAGGAACAGAGGACAGGGGGAGGAGGGGACACAGGGGGTCCTGGGGTGCCCAACGGCACAGAGGGGGACGGGGGGTCCCTGCCGGGCCCCACCTTGACCTCGTTGTAGAAATACTTCTTGTCGTCGGGGTAGAGCAGGTCGGCGATGCCGAAATCCGCCACCTGCACCTGGCTGGGAGACTTGAGCAGCACGTTGCGGGCGGCCAGGTTGCGGTGGACCATGCGGTGCTCCTCCAGGTAGTACATGCCCTGGGCGAGGGGGGGACACACCGGGGGCTCCAGCGGCACCGGGGAGGACCAGAAGGACCCCCAGCCCACCGCGGGGACTCACCTTGGCCACCTGGACGCACCAGTTGAGCAGCAGCTGGGGGCTGATGGAGTCGCGGTTCTTGCGCACGTATTCCAGGACGGAGCCGAGGGGCAGGAGCTGCGTCACCAGCTGGAGCTGCGGCCCGGGGCAGATCCCCAGCAGCCGCACGATGTACGAGTGGTCCAGGCTGCCGATGGCCAGCATGTGCTGGGGGGGACAGGGTGAGCCACGGCCGAGCCCCCCCTGCCCACGGGGCCTCCCCCGGGAACGCCCCCGGCACCTCCCAGACTCACGTCGGTGACGGCGTGGAAGGACTGCTGCCCACTCCAGTCCTGGATCACCTTGATGCTCACTGGGATCTTGATGGAGTCCCCATCTGGGATCCAGATGCCCTGATGGCATGGGATGGGATGGGATGGGATGGGATGGGATGAGGTGGGATGGGATGGGATGGGATGGGATGGGATGGGATGTCCCGGTGGTGCCGTGTACAGCCCTGGCTCACACGGAGCCTCCCTCTCACCTTGTGCACGGTGCCAAAGACACCGGAGCCCAGAACCTTCAGCCGCTTCAGCTCCGTCTCCTTGAAGATTCGGGCCAGCACCTTGTTGGCCTTTTCACTGGGATCCAGCGGCTCCAGGCTCTGCCGGGTGGGAGATGGGAATGGGGATGGGGATGGAGCAGGATGAGGATGGAGCGTGATTGGGATGGAAACAGAGATGGAGATCTGGGATGCAGGTGGATGGAGATGGACGGGGCTGGGGCTGGAGAGGGACAGCAACGGCTACAGACAGGCACGGAGATGGGAACAGCCAAGGATGGGTCCCACACCCTTCCCACCTGTCGAGCCCCCTCCCCACAGCCTCAGGGCTCCCCCCCAGCTCTGTCACAGCCCCCCAAGGAGCGGGATCCCCAGCTCACCTCTCCCCTCTCCAGGTAGCGCCGCATCGCCCGTTTCTTCTGGATCTTCTTTCCCCGCCAGTAGAGCAGCGCGAGGAGGACGATGGAGCAGGAGAGGAAGAGCCCCCCGACCACCATCACCGCGATCAGCGTCGGTGCCTTTCTGGCCGGGGGAGGAGGCCGAGGCTCAGCTCCCAGGGCTCAGCTCCCAGGGCTCAGCTCCCAGGGCTCAGTTCCTGGCACGATCCCCCCAGAAGGGCAGGGCAGGTGATGGCCCGGCAGCCCCCCGGAGTCCCCACAGCCCCCTGCCCATGGTACCTGGACACGGGCAGGGCGTCCCCCAGGCAGTCCCGCAGCAGCGGCCCCAGACACCTGCGGGGATGGAGCCGGGGCTGAGCCGGGGCGGGAGCCCCTCTGGCCGGGCAGGGGGTCCTGGGCCCCCCACCTGTCCCCTGCGGGGTCCCGGCCCCCCCTCCATGCCCCCCGCCCCGCACACCCGCGGGTGCAGTTCTCGTGGCAGGGCCGGCACTCGCGGCTGCCGTCGGGGAACTTGTAGATGGGGCCGCGCTCGCCCAGGACGCCGTCGGGACATCTCTCCACGCAGTGGGGCCCGTCGCGATAGTGGGCACAGCGGGTGCAGGTGTCGGCGCCCTGGGGGAACACGGTGTGAGGACCCCCGGGGTGTGGGGGGGTCCCCGTGCCCCCCCGGCCGGGCCGTACCGAGCCGTTGCAGGTGACGCCGCCCTCGATGCGCTCGCACTCGGGGTGGCACTCGAAGCACTCGCCGTCCTGGGAGAACTCCCGGGTCTCCCTGCAGGCACAGGGCAGGGTCACCCACCCACCCTGGGAGTCCATCCCAGCTCCCATCCCACCCCGGGAGCCCACCCCCAGCGCCCATCCCACCCCAGGTAAACCTCCCCCGTGCCCATCCCAGCCCGGTGCTGGCCCCGCTCCCCACTCCGGGGTCCCTCCCACCCCGTGCCCACCCTGGGGCTGATCTCCCTCCGGTGCCCACCCCACGCCCCCAGCCCGGTGCCCTCGCAGGGCCAGCCGCCCCCCGGCCCCCCGTGCCCCCTGACCCGTGGGTGAAGCGGCAGGTGGGCACGCAGACCCCGCGCCGGCTGTAGTGGCGGCAGGACAGGCACTGCCCGGGGCCGGGCCCCCAGCAGCCCTCGGCCGAGCACAGCGGGTCACACACCTTCCCCTCTTGCTCTGCGGGGGGAAGAGGGGGCTCAGAGCAGGCTCTGGGGGTCCCGACGCCTCAGAGGGACGGGGGGGCTCAGCGCAGAGCGCGGCATCCCCGCGCCTCGGAGGGACGGGGGGCTCGGCGTGGGGGGTCCCGGGGGGGTCCCGGGGGGGTCCCGG